CTAAGGGCCGGCTGTTGCTATTTCAGATGTAGTTTAAACACAAGTGATCCAGAGAGAGCTGTGAGGAGCTCAGGATGCCCTCGGCTCTGACCCTTTCCACCTACCTGTTCGGCACAGTCCACAGCCGTGCGCTGCTGCTTGTTCAGCAGCTGAACTGACGCACCGTGGAGCAGAAGCAGCTCTACCACGAAGACGTGCTTTTCAATCACAGCCTCATGCAGCGCTGTGTTGCCCTTATTATTAGACGCATTAATGGAGGCCCCATGCTGGAAAGAGAAAGCGCACGAGCAAAAGCAGTGCTATGAAACATCAGCATGGAATCTGCTGTGGGCGCACAGGTATTTGCTATAAAACACATTCAACTTTTCCTTTTTTGAGACGGAGTTTCGCTCTTGTTACCCAGGCTGGAGTGCAATGGCGCAATCTCTGCTCCCTGCAACCTCCGCCTCCTGGGTTCAGGCAATTCTCCTGCCTCAGCCTCCTGAGTAGCTGGGATTACAGGCACGCGCCACCATGCCCAGCTAATTTTTTGTATTTTTAGTAGAGACGGGGTTTCACCATGTTGACCAGGATGGTCTTGATCTCTTGACCTCGTGATCCGCCCACCTCAGCCTCCCAAAGTGCTGGGATCACAGGCGTGAGCCACTGCGCCCGGCCCTCAACTTTTCTTATGTCTGAAAGTTTTCTTAAAATTTGGTGGAAAAAACTAATACTGAGAAAAAAGATTTATAGACAAAGTGTTCACTGCAGCATTTATCCTAATGACAGGGAAAACAGAAGCCACTTAAATGTGCAGAGCAGTAACACGTTTAAAAAAAATCGCTATGGTTATCTATGGTTATGCAACCATTAAAAATCAAGGTTTGAATGAACAGGTTTCTACATTAAATAAGTAGATAGAAAACAATACTTGTGGCTGGGCGCGGTGGCTCACGCCTAATCCCAGCACTTTGGGACGCTGAGGCAGGTGAGTCACCTGAGGTCAGGAGTTTAAGACCAGCCTGGCCAACACAGTGAAACCCCGTCTCTACTAGGGAAAAAAAAATTAGCCAGGCATGATGTTGGGCGCCTGCAGTCCCAGCTATTTGGGAAGCTGAGGCAGAAGAATCACTTGAATCTTGGAGGAAGAGGCTGCAGTGAGCCAAGATCGCGCCACTGCACTCCAGCCTGGATGACAAAACGAGACTCCATCTTGGAAAAAGGGCGGGGGGCGGGGGAGGAGAAAATTTGGTGAGGCGCCGTGGCTTACACCTGTAATGCAGCACTTTAGGAGGCTGAGGCAAGAGGATTGGATCATTTGAGCCCAGGAGTCTGAGACCAGCCTGGGCAACATAGTGAGGCCCCATCTCTACTAAAAACAAACAGCAAAAAATAGTCAGGTGCAGTGGTGCATACCTGTAGTCCCAGTTACCTGGGGGGCTGAGGCAGGAAGACGGCCTGAGCCTGGGAGACTGAGGCCGCACTGAGCCATGAGGGTGCTACTACATTCCAGCCTGGGCCACCTTATCTCAAAAAAAAACAAAAAGGCTGGGCACGGTGGCTCACCCTTGTAATCCCAGTACTTTGGGAGGCCAAGGCAGGTGGATCACAAGGTCAGGAGATTGAGACCATCTTGGCTAACACAGTGAAACCCCATCTCTACTTAAAATACAAAAAAAATTAGTTGGGTGTGGTGACACATGCCTGTAGTCCCACCTACTCGGGAGGCTGAGGCAGGAGAATCACTTGAACCTCCAAGGAGGAAGTTGCGGTGAGCCGAGATTGCGCAACTGCACTCCAGGCCTGGGCGACAGAGCGAGACTCCATCTCAAAAAGAAAAAAAACAAACCACACTGAAACTATATACATTTTTTTTAAGTCCACTAAAATGAGTTTCCCTGGAGTGGCAGAGTCATGGACAAGTTGGTTTTTCCCCATGTCTTTAAGAAATTCTAATCTAGCAGCAGGGACAGAGGTGGCCACTCAGCCCATGCTCAGGTAACAGTGTGACACATCCTCAGTCAGTGAGGTGAGAGCCAAACCCTTGGCAAAACAAGCATCAGAGCCCTTGAGACTACATCCCCGATGCCAAGGCACCGTCCATTCCCATCGGAGAACCCTGCATGGGAAGGCGCCCACCACGCTCCTCTCCCAGAGACCCGGGGCTGATGGGTGGCCCCCTCTCTCCATCCCAACTGCACGGTGGGGTTACTGGGTGGAGGCTAACCAGTGCAGGCGTGTCGGCCAGGGGCTGGGGAGGGGCCCTCACCTGTAGCAGCAGTGCAGCAACCTCGTGATGGCCACCGGAGCAGGCGTAAATGAGGGGCGTGTTTCCACTGAGGTCCTTTTTATTGGGTTTTGCATTGGAATCTAATAGACACTTCACCACCTACGCCAGAGAATAAAAACATGCCAACTTAATCAAAATTTCTGTTGTTTCCTGCTGGAGAAAAATTGAGAAAAATAGAAAAGAAGAAAACAAAATTTCTGGAGAGAAATCCTCAAATTTGATATTCTTTTGACTTGTCTCTGAGCTTATTAATTTCTTCTTTGGTTTGGGTTTATTGTTTTTAGACAGAGTCTCACTCTGTCACTCGGGCTAGGCTGGAGTGCGGTGGTGTGATCTCGGCTCCCTGTAGTCTGTGCCTCCCAGGTTCAAGCAATTCTTGTGCCTCAGCCTCCTGAGCAGCTGGGACTACAGGCACGCCACCACGCCTGGCTAATTTTCTGTATTTTCAGTAAAGAGGGGGTTTCACCACTTTGGCAAGGCTGGCCTTAAACTCCTGATCTCAAGTGATCCGCCGGCCTCGGCCTCCCAAAGTGCTGGGATTACAGGCGTAAGCCACCACACCCAGCCATCTCTGAGCTTATGGAGAAGACTCTTTAGGCCCTCAGAAAAAAAGGGACCAGGTGAGGAGGGGAGGGCTAGCAACTGCTGTGGGGCTGCTCCATGTGGGCAATGTGCGCCTTCCCATGCAGGGTTCTCCGACGGGAACGGACAGTGCCTTGGCATCCGGGATGTAGTCCCAAAGGCTCCGATGCTGGTTTTGCAAAGTTTTAGCGACAGTGATCTCACGTCACCTTTCTATCCTTTCTACCCCAGGGAGAGCTGCAATCATCACTCCAATTTTACAGATTAAAAAAGATGCCTGAAGCTCTATGCTAGGTGTTGGCGAGAGAGATGCAAGACCTGACATATGGCCCTGTCTTAAGTTAACAGTAGAACTGATAAAGGAAAATGAAAAAAGATATTCACACAGTTTTCCTTAAAGAAAAACAGGGCCGCCGGGTGCGGTGGCTCAAGCCTGTAATCCCAGCACTTTGGGAGGCCGAGGTGGGTGGATCACGAGGTCGAGAGATCGAGACCATCCTGGTCAACATGGTGAAACCCCGTCTCTACTAAAAATACAAAAAACTAGCTGGGCATGGTGGCGCGTGCCTGTAATCCCAGCTACTCAGGAGGCTGAGGCAGGAGAATTGCCTGAGCCCAGGAGGCAGAGGTTGCGGTGAGCCGAGATCGCGCCGTTGCACTCCAGCCTGGGTAACAAGAGCGAAACTCCGTCTCAAAAAAAAAAAAAAAGAAAAACAGGGCCGGGTACTGTGGTTCATGTCTGTCATCCCAGCACCTGGGGAAGCCAGGATGGAAGGATCACTTGAGTCCAAGAGTTCAACACCAGTCTAGACAACATGGTGAAATCATCTCCACAAAAAAATAAAAAATTATCTGAGTGTGGTGGTGCACACCTATAGCCCCAGCTACTAGGGAGGCTGAGATGGGAGGATTGTTTGAGCCCAGGAGGTTGAGGCTACATTGTGATGTGAGCCCAGACCGCACCATTGCACTCCAGCCTGGGAGACAGAGCAAGACCCTGTCTCAAAAGAAAAAAAAAAAGGCAAAGAAAAACAACTTTCAAAAAGCTAATCACTCCAAAATTCTCCCTTGAGCACCTCTATGGGGTGTTGACTGTTCTTACAAAGTTTTCACCTGTTTGGCCCAGAGCAAGTGCTGTTGGGGTATAAAGGTATAAGATGACCTTGGGGACATTCCTCGGTGGATGTCACAAGCTCTTGTGTGGTGACACAAGCTCAAGATCCAGCTCCTGCTGGTGCAGAATTAGAATGACAACCTCGGCACCACCTGGATGGGAGTGGCAGTGGGAGGAGGGCCGGCTCCACCCCCAGGGAGCACCAGGGCTCTGTGCCCTAAGGCTGAGTGGCCTACTGTGTGCACCTCAGAATCTCAGGGCTCAGGAGAGCAGTGTCCACCACACCCCTGCAGCATTCCCACCGAGTCCCTAGCCGAAAGCGGAAACCCTGCTCTGCGGCCTGCAATGCAAAGCCCAAACCTGAAAGTGGCCCTGTTGGCAGGCCAGGTGGAGTGGGACAGCTTGGTCTGTGTTCCTGGCACCTGCGTTGGCCCCATGCTTCAGCAGGAGGGGGATTAGGTCCGCCCGGCCGTGCAGCGCAGCGACATGCAGTGGGGAAGAGCCGTCCTGGCTGGTCACGTTCACACCAAGCCCACTGGCAGGAACCTTCGCCAGCTTCTGGGAAGTGCAGAAGATGGAAACAGAAACATCAGTATTCAAGAAACTGGGCTGCAGTGACTGGCACCATGTGCCCCCCATGGCTCCTACATAAAATGTGGGATCATGGTGGGATCCCAGATGGATTCCCATTCCTTTAGATATGCATGGCATGCCAAAGAATAACTTATTTTGAGACAGGGTCTCACTCTGTTGCCCAGGCTGGAGTGCAGTGGTATGATCACAGCTCACTGCAGCCTCAACCTCCTGGGTTCAAGTGATCCTCCCACCTCAGCCTCCCAAGTAGCTAGGTCCACAGGTACAAGCCACTGTGTCCAGCTTTTTTTTTTTTTTTTAAGAGATGGTGTCTCACCATGTGGCCCAGGCTAGTCTTGAACTCCCAGGCTCAAGTGGTCCTCCCACCTCAGCCTCCCAAAGTGCTGGGACTACAAGTGTATGCCACTGGGACGGCTAATTTCACTTTTTTTTTTTCGCCAGGGATGTAGAACCTCCAAATTCACTCTGAGGGACATGACCACAGCCTATCAAAGGTGACAAGAGTCACTTGCTATTTGCACCTCTGTTTAAACCACCGCTACAAGAAACAGTGATTCTTGGGTTTTGGTGTGAGTAATTTTACTTTTTGATGACTAAACATGTTACCTCTTAAAAAAAAAAACCATATGCTAAATTAAAGGCTGAATTTTACCATATGTAAATTATCTCACAAATCAAAAGCTGGAAAACACACAAGTATACATGCACACACTCACATACATGAACTACCCTGCAGACTTCTCAGAATAGCTAAAGTTCAAACATCAAGGCCAGGCGCAGTGGCTCATGCCTGTAATCCCGGCACTTTGGGAGGCCAAGGTGGATGGATCACCTAAGGTCAGGAGTTCTAGACCAGCCTGGCCAACATGGTGAAACCCTGTCTCTACTAAAAATACAAAAATTAGCCGGGTGTGGTGGTGCCTGCCTGTAATCCCTGCTACATTACAGGTGTACAGTGAGGCTTCAGAATTGTTCGAACCAATGAGGTGGAGGTTGCAGTGAGCTGAGATCTTGCCACTGCACTCCAGCCTGGGCAACAGAGCAAGACTCCATCTCTCAAAAAAAAAAAAAAAAAAGTCAAAATACCAAGTGTTGGCAGGGATGTGGAGCAACTGAATGCTCACACCCTGCTGGAGGGAACAGAAACTATTTCAACCAGTTTGGAAAACCGGCAGTTTCTTATAAGGTTAAACATATCCTTACTATATAATCCAGCAATTACACTCCTAGGTGTTTACCCAAGAATGCATATATCCACACAACAGCTTGTACACAAATGTTCACAATGGCTTTATTTACAAAGCCAGAAGCAGGAAAACTACTGAGACGTCTGTCAACAGGTGAATGAATCAACAGATTCTGGTATATCCATTCAATCAAGTACTACCCAGCAATGAACTCCTGATCCAACATGGGCCTCGGAAATATCCTAAGTGAAAGAAGTCAGACACAAAAGGACATGCTTAATGTGAATCCACTTACACAAGATTCTAGAAAGTGCTAACTAATCCATGATGATGAAAAGCATGTCAGGGGTGGCTTGGGAGAGGGGATGGGGGAACGGGGGAGGGTGGGGAGGGATTGCAATGAGGGAAACGTTTGTATCTTTATGGTGGTGATGGTTTCACAGGTTTATACATCTGTAAAACTTGCCAAATTATATACTTAAATATGTATACTTTATATTAAAAAAAGATTTAAAACAGAAAACAGTGACAACGCCCAGTGCTGGGGAGGACGTGGCGAAACTGGATCACTCATACCTTACTGGTGGGCACGTAAAACGATACAGCCTACTTGAGAAAAGACTCCGTTTCTTATAAAAACGAATCATGGAATTACGTTCAATTACCACAGGACTCTGCAATTGCACTCTTGGGCATGTATCCCAGAATGATGAAAACTTGTGTTCTTACCAAAACCTCTTCTCGAATGTTTGTTCGTGGCAGTCTGACTGATAACATCCCCCAAACCAGCCACACACCACATGTCGGACATTCCACAGTGAGTATATGCCACCATTAAACAAATGGAATGCCACCCTGCCACCAGGGAATAGACCTGATTCTATGCAACAACTTGGAATCAAACAGAACAAACAAGGCGAATCCCAAAAAGTCATACGGATACTGTGTGATTACATTTACGTAACGTTCTTCAAGTGACAGAATTAGGGAAATGGAGAACAGATTAGTGGCTGCCAGGGTCGCGGATGGTGGGATGGGCGTGGCAGGGAAAGGGGTGGGCGTGGCTGTAAAAGGGCAGTTTGAGGGATTCATCTTGTGGTGAGAGAGCTGTGCTTGCAGGAGACGGAGACACGCTGTGTCTTGATGGTGGTGATGGCACCACAGGTTTTACATCCGTGAAAGCTCACCCCGTTATAGAAATACATCTAGTCTGTGAAATATACTTCCATGAAGGATTTAAAAACAACTTCTAGAACACAGGGCTAGAGAAGAATGGCGGGGTAGGTTTTCGTTTAATCATGGATATGAAGCAGTTTAGTGCTGTGTCCTTTTGAGACATTATAAAACCAGAGTGAGAGTTTGTAAAAGAACAAGGCTGAGTGTGATACCTCACACCTGTAATCCCAGCACTCTGGGAGGCTGAGGTGGGCGGATCACTTGAGGTCAGGAGTTTGAGACCAGCCTGACCAACATGGTGAAACCCTGTCTGAGGTAAAAATACAAAAATTGGCCGGGTACGGTGGTGGGTGCTGTAGTCCCAGCTACTTGGGAGGCTGAGGCAGGAAAATCACTTGAACCAGGGAGGCAGAGGTTGCAGTGAGCTGAGATCACACCACTGCACTCTAGCTTGGGCGACAGAGAGTCTTTGTCAAAAAGAAACAAAAGAAGGAGTGTAAAAAAAAGTATCTGTCACAGAAAATATCTTGAATGTGATGGTTCATACACAGACCTATACATGTGGCACAACTGTACAGAAAATACACACACACACACACACACACACACACACACACACGAGAGAACAAGCAGAACTGGGGAGATCTGAACTAAGACCCACAGACTGCATCAATGTCAATATCCTGGCTGTGATTCTGCACCATGGTTTTGCAAGGATGTTACTCCTGGGGGAAGCTGGGAGAGGGTGTGGGGATTTCTCTGCACTTGGAGGGAGAGTCCCCACAAAGAGTGAACTCACTTGAGAAGAGGCAGCAGCAGAACACATGTGCAGCTTCCCTGGGGGCCTTTGGGTACATGGAAGGAGACCCTCGAGCATCTGTTCATAAGCTCCTGCCATGGGACTCAGGGACCCAGATAGCCGCCAAAATGCTAAGCATGGGGACACGTCCCCTGCTCACTTACCTGCCGAGCAGGAAGCTGGCATCCACCCTTGGCTAATGGGTCCCACCATATCTTGGGGAATACCTATTCACAGCCACTCAGTACAGTAATTATCTGGCCGAGAAGCAGAGAACTTTCCTGAGGGGAAAAGGAAGAATTTGCTGGCCGGGAGCAGTGGCTCACGTCTGTAATCCCAGCACCATGGGAGGCTGAGGTGGGGAGGATCGCTTGAGGCTGGGAGGTTGAGACCAGCCTGGGCAGCACAGGAAGGCCCAGTCTCTACAAAAAGAAACAAATTAGCCAGGTGCGGTGGTATAGGCCTGTGGTCCCAGCTAGTCAGGAGACTGAGGCGGGAGGATCACTTGAGCCCAGGAGGTTGAGGCTGCAGTGAGCCACGATTGTACCATTGCACTCCATCCTGGGTGACACAGCAAGACCCTGTCTCAAAAAAAAACAAAAAAAAAAAAACAAAAAAAAACACCTCCATTCCCTGACCACCACCAACAGAAACAAAGCCAAACCTTCTGAGCTGGGGCACACTTGGGGCACTGGCACAAGGGGTGACAGAATTCGAGGTCTGCTGCACTGACAGTGTCCTCCACGTCCTCCAGGTCCTCCTCTGTCCACTCCAACAGGTAACGCACCTGGTGATGGAGAGTAAGGGAAGCAGGAACACATCCTCAGCGTCTTCGCCTGCACAGCATCTTGAACACACACCATCGATGTGGGCCCACACCTCCTTCCTCAACCCCACAGCCATTAATAACTGGCTTCAGCTGCCTTGTGAAGCCTTTCTCAATCCTTCTGCTTCACAGCTTATGCCAGAGATTCTTTTCTTCTATCACAAAAAGTGGCAGATTGCTGCTGCCTCGGGGTGATGGCTTTAAAATCTAGTCCTAGGGCCAGGCGCAGTGGCTTATACCTCTAATCCCAGCATTTTGGGAGGCAGAGGCCGGAGAATCACCCGAGCCCAGGAGTTCAAGGCTACAGTGAGCCATGATCACACCACCGCACTCCAGCCTGGGCAACAGGGCAAGACTGTCTCAAAAAAATAAACCCATAAACCCACCCCAGTCCTAGGGCGCTTAGTGAGCACCTTGCTCCTTCCTTCATTACAAGTGGAAGATACAACCAGGCACAGTGGTTCACTCCTGTAATCCCAGCACTCTGGAAGGCCTGGGGGCGGGGCAGATGACCTGAGGTCAGAAGTTCAAGTCCAGCCTGGCCAACATGGTGAAACCCATCTCTGATTAAAAAAAAAAAAAAATTAGCCAGGTGTGGTGGCACACACCTGTAGTCCCAGCTATTCAGGAGGCTGAGGCAGGAAAATCATTTGAACCTCGAAGGTGGAGGTTGCAGTGAGCTGAGATTGGACCACTGTACTCCTGGGAGACAGAGCAAGATGCTGTGTCAAAAAAAAAAAAAAAAAAAAAAAAAGGTGGAAGAAACAGTCCTTTCAGGGGGCCAAAGGCAAGCCCGGGGAACCAGTCCGTGGGAATCTAAGAAAGGCTATCTCCACCGTCCACTCATCTCACTGTCAGATGCACCTGACAGTTTGGACAGATGCCTTCATCAAGCCACGACATACTCTCCAGGTGCCAGCCCAGGGCCGGGAGCCCCATCTCATCCAGACACCTGCCTATGCCCCCTCCCACAGCCCAGGGGTCCCAGCCATCCACAGCTTCTGCAGAGCTTCACAGACACCTCTGGGGTCTGCCCTCGCCTCTCCTACTTCCTCCTCTCCCCAAAACCAAGCTGCCCTCCTTGCACACTGCCTAGTGAGCCTGCATTCTGAGCCTACGCTCTGTGCCCTGAACATGGTCTCTGGTCTTGGCAGCGTCTCACCACACTCCCGGAATGCGGACACCTGAAAGGCAGGGACCACGCTTGCTAGGTGCCTGTGTGCTGAACTGCCCCATTACCTGTCAAAAAACTCTAATGTCACCATTACCAAATATGCACTAAACATCCCACCCGCTGCACAAAATCAGAGTCCACGTGACCCAAGACTGAACTGGAGACAAGAAATACAGATGGGTGGCTGTTTTAACCTGAGAAGCAGCTTTTTATAATAAAAAGCACTTCTAAAGCTGGGCACTCCTAAAGTTGGGCTTGGTGGCACATGCCTATAATCCAAGCACTTTGGGAGGCCAAGGCAGGAGGATCACTCGAGGCCCGGAGTTCAAGATCAGGCTGGGCAATACAGCGAGACCCCATCTCTACAAAAATTTTTTTACAATTAGCCAGGCATGGCAGCGCACACCTGCGG